TTTTTTTACCTCCATGCATATTGTGATTCAAGATGGAAATTCTACAAATGAATAGTTCACATGTTGGTCCATCCAGCTGAAAATAAAAAATTAACTTGCTTCCTAGAAAGCCTACACTTTGATGTGTTGGCAGGGATTTGTTTAACTAGATTGTAAACTCCTAATTCTTGGAGATTGCCTCGATTGAAAACTTGAAACCAGTAGGATTTCCTCCTGGGAATGCAGATCATGCAGTTTGAGTCTCTGAGGATGGGCCAGGTGCCGCAGAATTGTTTTTCAGTCATGGGTATAGGCACCTCAGCCAATCTGTGTGCACTGGAAGTTTACTTTCTGATATATATTTAACCCAGTTTAAACATGGTGGACAGTGTGTCAGTTTGCTGGGGCTGCCATAACAAAATATCACAGACTGGGAGGTTTCGATAATAGACACCGATTTTCTCACAGCTCTGGAGACGAGGAGTCCCAGGATCAAGGTGTTGGCAGGTTTTGGTTTTTTTCTGAGGCTTCTCCGTGGCTTATAGATGGCCACCTTCTCTCTGTGTCCTCCCATGGTCTTCCCTCATAGATGGCCACCTTCTCTCTGTGTCCTCCCATGGTCTTCCCTCCATGTGTGTCCCCGGCGTCTGTGTGTCCACATTTCTCTTCTTATTGGAACAGATCGGATAAGGGCCCACCCAGCAGCCTCATTCTAACTGAACCACGTCTTTAAAGGCCCTCTCTAAGTGCAGCTACATTCTGAGGTACTGGGGGTTAGGGTCAGTAGGGCCATATTTCAGTCAGTAGGGTGCAGTACTCTATAAGGGACATTATATTTTACTCTAGTTGCTAGCTCTCTGGGAGAGAGTCGGCGGGGCTTGTCTGTACCTGATCCTGGGAGGATAGACCACTGCAGAGGGACTTCCTCTGAGCTCTGCAGTTGGGGAGCGCTCAGAGTTCAAGAAATTTGTCCTGTCATTTTCCTTTTCATGTGGAGCAGTTTCTATAAAATACTTCTTTGTTAACTAGCTTACTTAGATCTTTATATCAGAACTATTCAGATCCCTATTTTAGTATTTGGGTTTTTTTATGCAAAGAAATAGCATGTATTTATGGAAACTTCACATTATTAACTTTTTAAAAACTGAAGATAATAAAATTTTCAGAGTGGTCCATTATATATCTAGAATGAGCTTCTCTTTACCTTCACTTTCGTGTCACCCAGTGAATGGCCTGTGATCGATAGGAACTACGTTGTTTCCTTTTGGTTACTGGCTACTGGCTAGCCAGGTCTTCCAATGGCAGGTTTTCACTCATAGCCACAAACATGCTAAGTCAAGCCCTGCTAAGAAGGTTGCTGTCGAGGCATCATTTACTTCCTTAGCTTGGCATATTATGTTTTCCTGGGTACATTTTTAAATCAAGTTTCTCCTTACTCTTCTTCCATTCTGTTATGATTTTATTTACTTTGAACCTTAAAGCATGAGAAATACGATTTCCTAATGGTGTGCAACTTCATATGGTTTTGTTTTTGTCTTACCAGAGTCAAACCAAACATATTCTCCTACATGGGAACCAAAGATAAAAGAGCCATAACCGTTCAAGAGATTGCTGTTCTCAAGTAAGTACCAAGTACATGTCGGGATTTGTTCACAGAAACCCTAGCACCACCTTCCACGGTTCTCAGATTTGCTGTGGGGTTTATCTCTTCCCTCTTTTTTTTTTTCTTTGAGATTTTTATTTATTTGAG